ATGAGTGATTAAACAATGATTAAAACTGTGTAACATATGTCTGTTTTCACTGCAATTTCCCCCATGGACTTATCTGCGCCACTGCGCTTGGCTTATAGATATTGAGTTTAAAGTTGAAAAAAAAAAATGCATCCACCGCCCACACCATTCAACCACTGTGAATCACAGTTCATCTCTGGGAGTATTTTTTGTCTTTGCATGGACTCTCTCTCTCTCTCTCTCTCTTTCCTTAAATAACAATAACAACTACAAATCTCCAGGTTCCTGTCGTCACTATCATCAAAAATAACTGTTTCTGCGCCAACAGAACCCCCTCCCCAGGTCCATTTCCACCTGGTGGTTTCTATTTCTAACAATGTCCTTTTCTTTTCTCGTCAAATGTTCTTTATCAAACTCCCATCAGTCTTCTTATATGAAGCATTGTTTGTGTTGTCGTCTTTATTTATTTAACACTGTATATATTAAAACCTCCTGAACACTACCTTCCTCCTCCACCGCCACCCCTCCTACTCCTCTTCACTCTCTTCAAAACTCTTCAGGATTTTTTTTTTCCTCCTGAGCGAATCAGGTTGTGACGGGCGCAACCGCACTGGAGTGGAAGTCACGTCGTGCTGGACTGGCGCGAGATCCTCGCACGGTTCACAACTCAAAGGAGAGCTGACTCTCGCCTTTTACATCCCGCTCTTTACACGATGGGAGATGCTGATCTTAAAAGTTGACGTGGGATTTCTCATTGTGGGCTGTTTGCGAGGCATGGCTTTCGTTTTAACTTGCTTATTTCTGTCATGGTGAGTATGGCAACTCTTCTCTGCATGTTCTCCGCACTTTTACGCACGACAGCCGGAGACTGCATGGTGGATGCGCGTCTGAGGAACTCCACGTATGTCCAACTGTTTGTTGTGCTGTGTCGGGAGGACGTTATTTCACCAGTTTGTGTGTTTTTGTGTGTGCTTAAGTTATAGTGTCAGCACTGCTTGGGGAAATCAACACGGTGAAACCAGTATTTACTTGGATAACATTACGCGTATATTGGACAGATTATTGGATGGCTATGACAACAGACTGCGACCTGGATTTGGAGGTATGCAAATATAAACCCACCAATCACTATATATATTTTATTATTATTATTTTAATACTAAAGATTATAATTTAAGTCGTTTTTCAGACTCTAAGGGTTTTCCTTTGCTCTAATGTTATTTGTCCAAAAATGGTTAGAACTGCAGTGTCCTATTTCAGTGTACTAGTGAAAAACTGTAAACCGAGTTTAAAATAGTCACGCCATTTTCTTTTGTGTAATGATACGATGTTATTATAAGGCTGTTGGACTCAATGCATAGAATTGCATCCAGGGTATGGTTTTACCTTCAGTGCTTGACATTGCTTTACATTACATAAGACCAGGATGCTTTAACTAGAACTTCATTTTGTGTCCATGTGAATCACGTCCTGTTTCTGCTCTAGGTCCAGTTACCGAGGTCAAGACCGACATCTTTGTCACCAGTTTCGGACCAGTTTCAGATGTGGAGATGGTAAGTAGCGCATGTTAAGAGCGGGAAACTCTGATGTGTACATACATGAGTGCTCAGTGGTGTGGGTTTTTTTTTTTTTTCATGACTCGTGTGGATATGTGAGGAAAGAAAGGAATTTGTATAGTTTTTCTATATTGTTAAATGAAGCTTTACATCGTGTTTTTTTTCACAGTCTATATTATTACAGCCTTTGGGCAGGATGTCATTAGTGCAGCTTAGGATTTTAATCTGGTCGACATCTCCCCCTGCCCCCCTCCCACCCCTTCAGAAAGAGAGATAGAGAGAGAAAGATCCGGCTGTTGTTGGGACAGGATAGGCTGAGGACTCCTGTCATGGGATAGGCAGAACTACGTACATTTTGTCTGTTGTCCTCCATAGTGTTGGGCTTTATCGGGTTAGATACTGTTTCATTGCGCCTGAGGCCCACAGAAAGGAGAGGCATGTTAAAGGCTCTTAAGGCTTCCACTTGACCTAAAAGCATCCCAGATGATATTGTTGACTTAATGCCGAATGTTAATATGAAATATTCAATAGGGTTTTTGGAAGAGGTCTTAATCAATAAGTTTAAAATCCTGCTGCCTGCTTCATAGTGATTTTTTTTAAAATTAATTATACATTTTTGGTGTTCAGTCTTTAGATTTGTCTTATGAAGAAAAAAATAAAAATAAATAAAATAAAAAAAAATACAACATTTTGATGCTACCATTAAAAATTCACTGAGATGAAAATTTCCTTCGGCTCTGTTGACTTTAAAATTCCTAAATATGGGTAAAACAAACTTCTACATGTTACTAGTCTTGGCAGCAATAAAAGAGTATTCCAGAAATAGAAGAGAGAAAATCCGTCCCATGTGTTCTACCCAGCACGTTCCAACTAAATCATGGCTCACACTCCGATCTGCCGATCTGTCATTAACTCAGGGGGTAGTGTTGATAACAACAACTGAAGCAGGACCAACAGCAATGGCAAGAGTGGTTGTTGTAGCATTAATAAATACTCAACACATTCTCTCCTGTCTGTCCTTCAAACAGGAATACACCATGGACGTATTCTTTCGTCAGACCTGGATTGACGAACGCTTAAAATTCGAAGGTCCCATCGAGATACTGCGGCTCAACAACCTGATGGTCAGCAAGATCTGGACGCCGGACACCTTTTTCCGAAACGGCAAGAGGTCCATCTCTCACAACATGACCACTCCCAACAAGCTGTTCCGCATCATGCAGAACGGAACAATCCTCTACACCATGAGGTAACAATTCTGGACACTTCATTTCATACTCAGCCAAAACCGGAACAGAGCACAAACCTGAGAAACAAATAAAACAAACAAGCGTCCAAGAATTTGAACAGACGTAGAAAAAAAAAAGAGAAAAGATTCCAAAAATTTAGACATGTGCCATCTGAAACTAAAAACAGACCTGGAAAGCAATTAAAAAAAAACAGGAGCTCTGTTCCAAAACGACATATGTAGGACAACAGAAAGTAGTCAGAGATCCTGATGGCACAAAGGCAGCTCCCTCCCGTCACTCCAAAAAGTAGTTCCTTTTGACTTTAATTCTGTTGTTCCAGTTAAAATGGTTCTGTTTTTGTTAAAAACGTTTTTTGTTTTTTTTTACTTTACGATTTTCTAAATCCTACGATGAGCTTTAGTTTGACACACGTGGTTCAGTTTGTCAGCTGTTTTACAGGGGCTCTCCACACTGACTGAATATTGCCTGAAAGATTCATCTCTTAGCCAGTAGCTGTATCAAATATAAATCAAACATGTCTTTCAACTTGTGTCTATTCTGACAGATTAACTATAAATGCTGAGTGCCCCATGCGTCTGATGAACTTCCCGATGGACGGCCATGCCTGCCCGCTCAAATTTGGGAGTTGTGAGTTTATTTAATTACTTTTTTTATTGTAAAGCTCCACTGATGGTGGTGTCAGTATCAAATGTCTGTCAAAATTCTGTCATTCGGTCACCCACTGATGGTGGTGTCAGTATCAAATGATAATTCTGTCATTCGGTCAACGCCAACCTGCATGACACAGATTTTGATTTGAGATGTCACCTACAGGCTATTAGGGGAACTACAAATAGAACGGGGGGAGTGAGGGGGTAAATAACTGGCAGCTACCTTAATACAGCATTCAGTTTACAGGTCGGATCGTGAATCTGGCAGGAATATTATAGTTATTGTTGCGTACTGGTTCTTTTCGCTGAAAATCTTCAGGAATACTGTAAAAGATGATAAATAAATAAAGATTCCTGTCAGTAAATATTGAAGTATTTATAGAATACCTGGCTTTTTTGGATAAAAAGAGAAAAAACTTATTTTTATAGCTGATATCTTCTATTTTAGCCTTGTACTACAAAAACTTTATTCATATCTAAGACAAAATAAGTCTTTGTTGCTATATTAATTTATAATTAATACATTAAATGTTATTGGGTTTATTAACCTAATAAATGTAATACAGTTATGAATCTGTGTTATTTATTATTGTATTGTATAATTGAAATTGATTGGCAAAAAACCCATTTTTTTAATAGCTGGCGAAAATTGGGTACAATTAGTAGTACTTATTAAAATTCAGTTTTATTCAATTTATAAATACTATGTGGTATGCAGAAAAACTCTAAAGATATCCTTAATAATAATAATAATAATACACTACCTGTCAATGTGTCTTTTATCAAAGTTTTATGAAAGATTGGAAGTGCATTTTCTTTAACATAGTTCTTTCACTGCATGACCAGATGCGTACCCAATGAGTGAGATTGTGTACACATGGAAGAAAGGTCCACTTTCTTCTGTGGAGGTTCCACAGGAATCGTCCAGTTTGCTGCAGTACGACCTCATTGGTCAAACAGTGTCCAGTGAGAGACTCAAGTCCAACACGGGTGAGTAAGACTCTTAAAAAAAGGTTCTTCTGTCTGTTCACTGTTCTTATACATTTTTTGGAAAGATGTTTGATGAGTCATCCCTTCTCTGTGTTAGTGTCTCACTGCTGTACTGTATGTCTCTGCTGTTTTCTGTCTCAGGTGAATATGTCATCATGACCGTCCATTTCCACCTCCAAAGGAAAATGGGTTTCTTCCTGATCCAGACCTACATTCCTTGCATTATGACTGTCATCCTGGCTCAAGTCTCTTTCTGGATCAATAAGGAATCTGTTCCGGCTCGAACTGTTTTTGGTAAATAAATATAAAACATTATATATATATTAGTATTCATAGCCCACTTGAGTACTGTCTTGTTAAAGTAAATCAGCACATGGTGAACTTTGTCCTGTGAATAGTAATTGTGACATGAATATCCTGGCATGTACCAGAGAGTTTTTTTTTTTTTTTAAGGTGAAAAGCCGACTTCTTAGTTCTTGTTTTGCATGATTGCAATCACTTACAGAGCGGGAATAAAATAAAGGAAATGGAAATTAGATCACTGCTGTGAAAGAGAGAGCAGGATGCTTTGGAATTCTGAAAGCTGCAATTTCAAAACCGCATCACAATTCCTACATTTGAGGTCAATCTGTCAACTTTTTAGCTCATGCCAGATCTCTAACCTTAAACTCAGTTGAAACTAATCGCTAATTTTGATTTGCTCACACAGTCTAGCCTTAAAAAAAAACTTACATTGAACAATTGAAGCCACTGTTGTTTGTTTATACCCGTTTACATCTCTTTGTATTTGAATATGAAAATACAGTGAGGCACGGAGCAGTGGTGTTGGTGGTTGACTTGGCTGCTTTTTCAGAGCACTCCGCTTACTCACATTACATCACGCTACAGTTGACACAAAGCTCTAGCCTAAGGAACAGAGAGGGTGGGAGACACCAACAAAGAGCGAGAGAGAGAGAAAACCCAGGACAGAAAGGAAAAAAAGACAAGTGGAATATTGTGTAAAGCTGTTGTGACGTTTATTCCGTTTAGATTTCAATTCACGTCAGATGAAATTTGAACAAGCTGCAGCTGGTCGTTGTGACATTTCTGCCCCTTAGAGGTTATCATTCTGGGGTCTGCAATTGTGATTGGAGGAGAGCCAGAGCTGGAAGGAGTCTGCAGTCGTGTTAACGTGGAAGTTTGTGCCCCGTGTGGCGACTCATTGACATCACTTGTCAATGTTACTCAATATTGGCTTTACAGTTTTTTCACTGAAAAGACTTACGTTGAAAAGGAAGCTTTGGGTGAAAATAGGTTTTGGTGCAAGTTTGAAGGAGAGGAGAGGAGATGTGAGGAACCACGGGAGTGGAGAAGAAGAGAGGAGAAGAAAAACCAGGAGAGGAGAGGAAGGAAGAGGAGAGGACTGTAAAAGGGTGTGGGGAAGAGAAGAGGATGGGAGAGAAAAGAATAAAAGAGGATGGGAGGAGAGGACAAATGAGCGGAAGAGGGGAGAGGAGACAGGAGACAGTGCTATATACAGTAGATGTTCTCCACCCTGACGGTACATTAAGCCATTGTGTGTTGTGCACTGAATTGTCAACATCTCCTCTAAAAGCTGAAAGTCCCCTGAGCTCAAACCTCACAGACTTAATTGAGTGTGGCCTAATTTGTACCTTACTTTTTTCCCAGTAAAAGCACATAAATGCCCCGAGCATTAATTTTTATCCTGTCTTTATACTTCACCCACTTTCCTCCTACTCTCCTTCATTATTTCCTTCTCTTTCACTTGTATGCCTCCTCCCACCCTGACAGCTTTTCATCCCCTCCACCTCCTTTTTCAATCATTTAACTTTTGCCTGAGTGAAAGGCAGTCAGTGGTGGTTGTTTTGTTTTTTTTTTGGAGTAGGCTGTGTTTAGAGGTGGTTAACTGCAAAAATGCTTGTAGAAATGCTATGAGTGTGTGTTTGTTGTATACTGTGATATCTCAGGTTCAAACTGCATTATCTTTTCATGTAATGTCCATTCTTGCAAATTTGCTTTACGGCATGATAGTGGGTCACAATGCTGGACCAGTTGACAACCACTGGTTTAAATCACAACATCAGCCATTCCTCCACATGAGTCTCCGTCCTGTCCGCAGGTATAACCACCGTCTTGACGATGACAACCCTGAGCATCAGCGCTCGCCACTCCCTTCCTAAAGTTTCCTACGCCACAGCAATGGATTGGTTCATCGCTGTTTGCTTCGCCTTCGTCTTCTCCGCCCTGATCGAGTTTGCGGCCGTCAACTACTTCTCCACCCTCCAAGCCAACAAGGAGCTGCGAAAGGCAGCTGCCATGAAGGCAGCAGCACAGGAGGCAGCAGCTGCAACTGCAGGTGCAACTCCAGCTGCGGCAGCAGGGAACGATGGAGAGGTTTCCGTGAGTCTGTCTTTTTCACTCCTCTACAGGTTTTCTGGGAACGCTTGAATTAACGCGTTCCTCGTGAAGATTAATAATACCAAAAAATAAGCAGTAGAACAAAGAAAACCAACACAACAGATGTTGTAAACAGTATTATTAGTTGTCATGTAGAAGTGGAGTGTGTTGTGAGCAGGTGGTGAAATAACTTTAATCACAGTCACTGATTAAAGTGTTTATATATATATATATATATTTGTTTTTTGTACAAAGGATTTTTTATAGGATGGATACTCTCTAATGAATGGTTTTATTTTGTGGTTTCAAGGCTGGCTGCAGAGGTTTAGATTGTGAAGGTCATTTTGAACCAGCTGATTCAAAAGAGGCGTAAAATATTTTTTTATCTGTTGAGTTGGTTTTTGTCCTTGTCTTTTGACGTCCTCGCAAGTTCTGGCCACAACATCTCTTTCTAGCTAACACAGATTTCCATTTGCAATCATGCAATGTGCAATGTAAAGAGCACGCGTGATAGACGATCAGCCTTCATCCTCTGTCTGCTGCCAGAGGAAATCATAATCTCACTTGTATACATGCTTCCTTGTCTTCTCATTTCCTTGTTTCTCATGCAAATGTTACAATCTTTATTATTATCTCTGTTTTCACGGCATATTTCCCATCACCACCTGCTGTGCCTCTCATGTGCGTCCTCTCTTTTCCCTTGTCAAAGACTCCCTGTCTCTCAGGGACACACTGTCCACCCTCCTTTTCTTCCTGTTCCTGCCTGGATGTATTTATGAGGGAACAACACCGTCCCATCTTTATCCCTACACCAGAACACAGGAGCCCTGTAATCTATAGCACACAACTCAAACACATACAGGCACAAATACGTGCATACTGTGCATGTAATCTGCTGTAAATCACGTCCCTTCTATCCGTTCAATCAGCTTCACATCTCTTATCCAGCCACCCATTTACAGTATATCTATTATCCATCCTCCTCTCTTCCTCTATTCTGCCCTGTAACAGTGTGAAAGCCACTGAGGGTGACACAGAGAGACAGCCAGTGACTCTGTGAACGTTGTCATTGCAGATTACATAAGACCCATAGATTAAGGGAATATCCGGCAAATCAGTACAGGTTCATGAGCAAGAGGGCAGCCTCTGCAGTGACAGTGGGAGCAGTGGGGGCTGAGAAAGCATTCCCATTTCATTTGTTGTTCACTGGAAGGCAGTGATGTATGTGTTGGACCATTGCAGTGTCTTATTGTCTTCTCTGTATGTGTGTTGGTTGTAAAAGTTACAGTAGAAGAAGGAGAGAGTAGGAGGGATGCATCAGGGAAAATGACTGCTTTCACCAGATACCATATGCAGAAGGTAGACCTACTCATCTTCACTGGAATGGAGGTGGCCATCCGTCACTGCTGTGATTTGTTATGACTGTCGGGTAAATCTACGACAGAGATGGAAACCTCACAGGAGCAGAATTTGTGTGTGTAGAGATGAACATTAGATTAAATAGTTGTAGGACGATGTAAAGGGACGTGCGATGGAGCAGTGTCAAATCATAGAAGCTTATTGTTGCCCCAGTCACGTGCACATAAACATGATCAGTGATGAAGAAACATCGTGATTAAACAGGAAGTGTTCTGATTTCCCAAATCTGTCCCAGCACCCGTCGTCCCTGTAATCAGATTGAATCAGTGTTGTGATATTTAACCTCAGGCAAAAAAACAAAAACAAACATGAAACAGGAAGTATAGAATAAAAAGTAATATGGTGAAGTTGGTCTAGTGTGCTAGGAGAATATTAAAGCTTTGCATCTGTCGCGTAAATGCACTTAATAGTTGTCTGTTCCCAGAGTTTGTATTTATTTCACAACAGCTGGCATTTTATTCTCCAGAAAATGCAACAATTTTAGTTGCAGGGTTGCATCAGAGGTTTGGATGAGATATATTTAAAGGATGGAGTTCGTAGTCAAATACTTCATTTTAATGTACTGATATTATGTGATGTTTTCATTCTGCTTTATATACAACTGACACACCTGTCAGATGATCACTGGTGCTGTCAAAATCAACATAGTAATTAATTTAATTTTTGAATTGCATTACAATTTACAATTACATTACAACCCAATTTAACACATAGGCAGAATGGCACACACTCAATATTCAACATTTACATTGTACAGTTACTTATATTTACTTATATAAAGTATCCTTATCCCTCAGTTCCAAAAACATACATCTTGAATACATCATAACATCTTGAATTATCCAGATTAAAAACTCAATTAATCGTGATTAATCATTGTCATAATTGCTTTTAATCCACAGCTACCCTGTTAGTAATCTGTTTCAAATTTGATTCCACTGACAGCCTGGCTATACCACACAAAAAGTATTTGTTTTTAAACTCCAACCCTTCACTCTTGTATCATAAGGAAACCAGATCAACCAAAAGTCATTATACCATGAATATGCTGCCAAGCTAAAAATACTCCAATATAAAAAGTACATCAATATTCAAACATTGAACTTTCTAACCCTTAAACATTCATCCACCAGAGTTTGAACACCCACCGTACACCCACTGATATGACTGTGCATGCCAAGCATAATGATTCTGTACACTGATATTATAACCTAGGCTTAAACATGTGTATAAACAGGCTGTAATGCGGCTCTCAGCCTCCAGGCTTTCAGATATAACATTCACACACAAATATTCAGTGTATTTATTAATGGCTGTTTCTACTCCTAAAGTCTTAACATCATCAGCAGTGGGTTTAAAAACATAGCGGTGCATAGAAAATAGATTCCATTGAAATCTGACAAGAGAGATGCCTAAAGGACCCATTTTCATCAGCAAAAATAGCGTGTGGAGGAGAATATTTTTATTTGCGCAGTGCCTACACGTGCAAGGTGTCTGGATCTTGACAGCTGCAGACAAACTGGGTTTGAGCAAAAATCCTCTCATTTATATAACTTGCTGTGTTACACCACGAGAAAGCTCTATCAAAGTAGCTACAATTTAGCTTTTGTTAAATAACCTATAGCAATCATCGTCTGGCCTCATGTTTTTTGACACATTTGTGTAGACTTTTTTGGTTAACTTATTTATGTAATTGTCCACAATCTAGTGAGAGGTCAACCAGTAACATCTGTTTAAAGTATTTAAATGTAAACATTAAGAATCTAAGTTTCCCATGTGCTATAATGTAACTAATTTACCCATCATGCACTCTGTCTCTGGCTTTGTACAATGATTCTAAATATTAAGTTATGGAAACGGCAACACATTGGTTAAGTCAAATTCGATAAGGTATAACAATAAGTATGTGTCAAAATACGGTGAACATCTCTTTTGTACTATGTTTTGTTTTCTTCCCACAACTGTGTCCGTCTTCGTAAAGTGGGTTGACTCAAATTTGACATCAAATCAAAAAGCGAGACATCACTGATGTCCTTTGTTGGGCTTTAATTACTGTGTTATCCTCATCGTTATTCTCGAGTGGCCTCCACACAAACATGTCCCTTACATGCACCGAATCACTCACTGCTGTGCAAATATGGCAGAAACACCAGGATACAGCGGCCGAGACGCAGTTCCATTATTAATACCTTCATATCACATCATGCAATATTCCCTTTCATGTAGTAAATTTCCTCTCACTTTCCTGTTTTCCTCTCGGTGCCTCTTCCAGGGCGATGCACCTAGTGTGCTGAAGAAGAGGATGAACTCGGCACCACTCTTTGACCGGCCTGCCAAAACATTTCCCAACCCACCTGTTAATGCCCACGCCTTCTTACAGCAGGGTTCGGCCGTACCAGCCAACAACGTTCTGACCGGAACCAGTATCATCGACAAATACTCCCGTATCCTCTTTCCTCTGTCGTTTGGCGCCTTCAACCTGGTCTACTGGATTGTCTATCTGACCAAGGACACCATGGAGATGACCAGGTGAACAGATGGCACAGTCCCGCACATATTCAGCATTTGTATGTGTTGTTCAGGCAGCAGATGGTGGCTCTTAATATATAAAGGTTAGATGGTGACGTAAACGCTGTTTTGTGCTAATGCGCTGCTATTGCTAATGTGTTTGGTAAATTAAGCAGAGCTTTTTGCACATTTTCCCCATGTGTGCAGCTAAAATGCACACATGGGGAAAGCGTGGTTATAATTGATTATTTCAATTAGAAATCCTTGATGTAGTCGAAGACAGTCCCTCAGTGCTGACTTGAAGCTAACTGATTTGAGCAGCAGATGTGTCCCCACCAATTAGTGAACAGAGAAAGAACATTTAAAAAGTATATTTGGCTACATACTGGTATTTGTAATAGATATGGATAAAAAATAGAATTGAATAAAAGCTGACAGACAAAATAAATATGAAACATAAAGCTTACACCTCACAGATATGTGTGTTTTTATCATTAGCATGTTTATAAAAGAACAAATGAATAAATATCTGTCTAGGTTAAAATAAGCAGCCACACCACGCTTCAGCTCTTACTTTAAATGTGTCAGCTGTGTCAACAATAGGTCAAATCATACATGCAGTCGTGCAGATTGAATTTGTTTTCATGCATCTTCAGATAGTTTCTATACAAGTTGAGCCATAATTTAATTCAGAACATGATGTTGGTTTGTTAAAATGCTTTAATGCCAATGAGTGTTTGATAGCTCTGGTCTAGAAAACACCTGGCATGTGTGAAAAACTACAGGCCTTTGTTTAAACTTTTATAACTAGTTGTTCAATTGAAGGACGATCAGCCAGATGGTTTGTTTCAGTGTGATATCATGAGGCCAAGGCTGGAAACAGTGAAGGGAAAGTGCAGCAGACAGCTTTATAAGAATACTATACTTGGCAGATGATTGGATAAACCATCTGTCTGCCATTGTCTATTATGTTGTTGAAGTCACCCAAGGGAAAATACTTTTTTTTTTTTTTTTTTTTTAAAAGCCTGCCTCCTGTTGGTTGATCTTCTTCTTCTTGTGACGTCTCCCTCTTTTCTCCTTACCTGGCAACTCCATCTTCAACATTACTTTTCCACTATCTCTTCTTAGCACTAGTACAGAACATCTAAACCTCACCTTTCTAACTTTATCACCAATCTGTGTCTCTCTGATTATGTTCATCCTGGTCACTGTGAGTGATCTCTGTCATCTAACAGTGACAACATCTAAGAGTCCTAGATACATCTAGGGGTTTGTGTTTTTTCTTAAACTTTCTCTATGAAAAACCCCCAAATAACTGGTTCATCATAACAATGGTATTGAATCACCTTGAGAATCATATTTGAAAAACGAACTCTTGTTAAAAGCCACCAGCAGAAAGAGCTATAAATGGAAAACGGCGAGGTGGTTGTCAAGGTGAACAGTGAAGACTGAGAGTAAGCCACACCAACATCATGTTCAGAGAGTTGGCTCTGGGTGCACATGATGAACGGGGATGAACGTACACATGACTCATAGTTTTTATAGGCAACAGATGTCTTCATGGAGCTATTGTTGCCAAAAGCAATGTGTCTGTGATCGTACGTGTGCATTCAATCATGTAGCATTTGACACAATGACAGAATGGCACTCATCCCCCGAACACAGCAGCCGACTGTGTTTACTATTGCATTGCTTTTCAACGGTGGCGGATTTGCTTTTTTTTATTTTAACTGCCTTGTGTTTTTAAATAGCCATAACTGTCTCATGTGGAACAAGTCAGGTGACAAGGCAAGTGCTGAAATGGAACTCGGTGAACAACTTTGTTGTAAGTCAAGTAAGAAAATGTGTTCCCAAAACTAAGTCACCAAGAATGAGAATGAGAAAACGTAGCGCTGTAATGAACTTTATTTCAAACACAATAATTATACCAAACAGATCTTCTCAAAGGAAATACTACTACAAATGAATGCAGTTCTCTCACTGCGGCACAGCTAAGTAATGTCTTCAATTTGAAATTCACTCATTTACTTTCTTTGTCCTCCTTAGTAACACCACCCTCACTTTGGGAACCACTGGATCAGTCATTTCTCTGACACAAGAAAGAATTCAAAACGTTGTTATTTGCACACTGCAGTTAGGCCATTTTATTGTACGACATGATTTATTCTCTCGGTACCCAATATCCTTTACACCTCTGCTGACTTCCACAGATAGAACTTTTCATTACTATTTTTTATAAGGCATCACCCACACGTGACCTCATCATTCTGAGGCAAAGCCACTATAATCCAAATATCATGAGCAAGGAATGAAAGTGGTCCGTCCGTTTTTGACTCCGGTGAAATAAATAGTCAGCTCCAATGGGCCCTAACAGATAACGGTGAATGCATCGGTCTCTTATTCTCTCTTTGTAACTCTGCTCTTACTAAAGAAGGCTGCCCTGCCAGGATGAGCAGCATCAGAAGAAAAGAGTGCGTCTTTGTGCAACTGTGTGTGCAGGTAGATTAGTGTCTATGCGTCAACTCTTATGAGGATGCACGAATTCAAGTATACAAATGTGCCGTGGCAGCAGTGCCTACTGACTGGAGGCTATTTCAAATGAATAGCCTCATTCAGACCCAGGACATGAAGTAGACAATTTTGCTGAAAACACTTCCTCGTGTGAAGGGCCCCAGCTGGCTGGATGGATGGCAAGCTGACTGGTGTATGTACGTCAGAGTAGGTACAGCAGGCGATCAGCCTGCTTCCTCTTTATTGCCCATCTGAGCGCCAGGCTCGAAAAACAACTTCCTTTCGTTGATGATTTAGAACCATTGTTTCTTTTCCAAAGCTGTTTCCAACCCAGTTCCCATTTCTGACTGTGGGCTGTATCTATATCCTTAGTGTAGTGATTATTAAATTATAGGCCAATAATCCTATATATCCTATAATAACTGTTTATATATAAACAGTTATTATCAATATGTCATGACAACATTTCTCTGTGTCACTCTGGTCTTTATCACACTTTTCCTTTGTCGTTGAGTTTGTCTTGTCTTGTATGAATGATTGAATGCATCCTCACACACCCACCTGTGATTAGTGCAGACACACGGACCTGTATCAATTGTAAGATAAATTACGGTGACATTGGAAAAACTATTTGTTTCTGACATTCTTAACATACACAAGTTGTTGCTCCCTTTCAAGCCATCGTTCACACTCAATTGCTTCCACTATTCCTGGGTTTATCCTGAGTGTCACTCTCTCCCTCTCTCTTACCTGCCCTCTTCCTCTCTAAGCTCCCATCTACCCCAACCCCGCCGCCCCCCGAGCTCTTTTCCACTCCAACCTTCCTAGTTCCTTTTAGTGAGCTGCCAGTACTCTGCCTCCACCTTCAACAGCAGGCTGTCCCTCAGCACAGCAGCATTAGGCTTTTAACTGAATCGAAACAAGGCGTTTTTACTAACTGCATTGATGCATGTTGATTATCTGGTTCATGGCAGGGAAAAAATGAGCTGCTTTTAGGGAACATGACGTTCCCTGTTTTATTATCCTTGTCCTTCTCACAGCTTTTTCTTAATGCTATTTTTTTGTAGAACAAAATACAAATAATATATACATATATATAGGTTTAATTGTTGTTTTTTTATTTTCTATTGTCATTTCTGTTATTTCTTCAAACTAGTACTTCAATGTCAATGTCCAAATAAATATATATATATATATATATATGAATAGTTATTAACATCCTAACGAGGCTGAAAAATGATGCCTATGGGCACCATAATAAATTTGTATAGGTATGAAGTACGGGAGAAATTGCTTTAATATACTATATTATGCAAAATAAAGAAGAGAAATCAACCAACCATATTATTTTTTTTCCCCTATATTTAACTTCTTACTGCCCCTGTGCAAATTATTTAAATCCTTTGCCAATCAATTCAGTCAAATTGTCACCGGCGTTAACGAGTCAGGCAAGGGAGTGAAAACTGTTAACACATGGCTGAGGTTGGTATGTGAGACTCACGTGGTATTTACAGCACAGCAGCATAGCAACAGGGAATTGGATACAGTTTAATGTGGGCAGATGTGAAATATAGCAGGGTATCAGTGTTGGCGTCTGTGTTCACAGACTTGGTCCTGAATATATAAGATTGTGTAGGAAAAAACGTGCTTCAAAATGTCAACATTTTGACTAATGTTTTTTCTTTTTTTCCTTTCTTACAGGGAAACCATCTAAAGGAAGAGTCTATTGTACTGAAGAAGAATCCACTCATTTACACACAGTAAATTCAACAGAAACCTGATGCTTGACAAGGACTGGTTCATGACGTCTCAATGCATGTATTACCTTTGAAAGTAAGTACATTTTTCAGCCCAGTTCCTGTAGCTAACATGAAGAGAATTAGATTTTTTTTTTTTTTGGCAAATCTGACTTAAAAATGGGATAACTGTTTACAATCTGTTGACATCACACACGACATGATTAATTTTTCACTCCTTTTCATGTTGTTTTGTTTCAGCAGCTAAACTTTAAAATACAGGACTAGACAAATATAATTTAAAAATACCGTTAATATTAGAGGGAAAAAGGAATAATCACCAAAATGGGAATGGATCATCTACTCTGATATTTTTATCTTTCAATCTGCTTTCACACACCATATACCACACCATATATCCAAGGCATTTTAATTGAGTAGAGGCGCCTGAATGCTGCTCACAAATTATTCAGTAAAGTGACAACTCGGCTTCTTGTGTACAGAAAAACAGCAAAAATAGCATTCTTAAACCTACCATCATCAATTATCCAAAATGCCAAAACATGTTCATTAATTATACACCAGTGTGGTTACACATGTTATTATGCACCATTTGGAATCAAATTGGGAAGGTTACACACAAAAGCTACTGTATGTGGTTTCTAAATATAATTTACTGTGTGTTGTTCCCTCATAACATCCATCATCCAGGAGGACGCTCTCATTAAAGGTGTCTCCTATTAACAGAGGTGCTTTTGGAGGTAGGCGGTGTGCACCGTGTGTTTGGAGATTACAGTGAAGTTGACATTTTCCCTTCTTAACTTATCATTGAGATTCTGATGTTCGCGAAGTGTCGCTCGAGCCATCGACAGCCTCCATCGTCTTATCAGATTATGCAAATTGTGAGAGGCACAGTAGGGGAGAGGGTGTCCAAGTGTTTTACAGTTCTTTAAAGGAACCTTGTTCCTTTGAGGTGAGAAGCAATTTTTAAAACATATAATTAGATATGCTTCTCACAAGCGCTGTGACATAATGTTAGAGCACAGTGGCACAACACTGATGTGTTGTTTATGCATCATGTGTTGTCGTATTTTGATGTTTGAGTATCACGGAATAAAATATATGCAATGAACAAAATGCAATAGCTACTTCTGCAGGAGCCAGAAGTTTGGGATTCGTTACAAAAAAAACGATGTACAGAAGTTTAGACTTCCATAAACAACCGTGCAAATCCATTATTTATTGGCGAACTTTGTAGAGATTATTAGTAAAAACAACAAAAACAAAAAACAAAACAGTATTTGTTTTAGTCTACTAAAACAACAGTATTTCGCTCATTGCCAAGGATAGTGAATCTTTGTATCTTTCTACAGTATGTGTGGATGACCTGCATATGCAGCTTAGACTTTGTAAGGGGTCGCGGGGAAGTTCATGGAGAAAGTTAAATAAATACTAAACTTCTGCTTCTGCAAAATCTGATGTCAGAAGACCTGTGTTTTTGAAATCTTTTTTAAAATCATTATGAGAATGATTTATGATGAAGGACATTTTTGTCAATCCTACACTACATGGACTATCTTTCCATTTAAGGGCCTATGTTGCATGTTCTTTTTTTTGGGGGGGTGGGGGGGGCGTCCGGGGGTGGCTTTC